TATATGTGTGACAGGAAGCAACAGTTAGAACTGGATATGGAACAACTGATTGGTTCAACATTAGGAAAGGAGTAGGACAAGGCTGTATATTGTCCCCCTGCTTATTTAACTTATATGCAGAATACATTGTCTGAAAGGCTGGACTGGATGAATCCCAAAGTAGAATTAAGATTGCTGGTATCAACAACCTCAGATATGCAGGTGATATAACTCTGATGGCAGAAAGTGAGGACAAATTACAGAACCTTGTAATGAGGGTGAAAGAGGAGAGAGCAAAAAATGGTCTGAAGCTCAACATCAAAAAAACTAAGATCATGGCCACTGGTCCCATCACCTCCTGGGAAATAGAAGGGGAAGATTTAACTTTCTTGGGCTCCCTGATCATTGCAGATAGTGACAGCAGGCACAAAATTCCCTGCTTCTTGGCAGGAAAGCGATGACAAACCTTGACAGGATCTTAAAAAGCAGAGACATTACCTTGCCAACAAAAGTATGCATAGTCAAAGCTATGGTTTTTCCAGTAGCGACGTATGGAAGTGAGAGCTGGACCATGAAGATGCTTTTGAATTGTGGTGCTGGAGGAGACTCTTGAGAGTCCCCTGGACAGCAAGGAGAACAAACCTATCCATTTTAAAGGAAATCAACCCTGAGTGCTCACTGGAAGGACAGATCCTGAAGCTGAGGCTCCAATACTCTTGACTATCTCAGGAGAAGAGAAGACTCCTTGGAAAAGACCCTGATATTGGGGAAGTGTGAAGGCAAGAGGAGAAGGGGACGACAGAGGACAAAATGGATGGACAGTGTCATTGAAGCTACCAATATGAATTTGACCCAACTCTGGGAGGCAGTGGAAGACAGGAGGGCCTGGCGTGCTCTGGACCATGGGATCATGAAGAGTCAGACATGACTTAATGACTAGACAACAACAACATCCTGTTTACATCAAAAGATCTCAGAGCCAGTTTAAAAGAAGCAGCAATTTAAATGATGTAAACCAGGTTAAAATGGTTGAAACAATTTGAATTTTTTTAAAAAATTAATAAACTATTTAAACTGAACTCCACACCTTACTCATGGCAAATCCTTTAATCCAAAGATTTGATGTTGAAATGAGATGAACACTGGCACCCACTGGACCTCCATAAAGATGATATTCTGTAAGTGAGGTGCTACAGAGAAGGAGACCCTCTCCTGTGTCTCCCTTAGTGATTCCTAATCACTGGTGGGATATGGAAGAGGTCTCTTCTCATTGGTCTCAGTGCTCTGAGAAGTGCATGCATAGGAAGTTGTGCTCCTTCTAATCACTGAAATAAAAGATATAGAGATAAAAAGGCAAATGGTTTCAAATTCCGAAAAAGTAGTAACATGTTACATTTATTCTCTTTATTTTCTCCTTTAATCCTTATTTTATCCGTACTGTTATGGAAAGGAGACTTGTTACAAATTGTACAGGAAAGTGAGACAGAAGGGTGCTGTGAAACAAGTTTAATATCAGTTGTGTGGGAATTTAAATAATGTACAGTATCTTACATAAACAAGATACATTTTGTGCATGGTTATAATCACAGCTTTCATGGCTCCTCTTTTTCCCAGTTGAATACTTAAGCTACTGATGCATTTTTTTTTAAAAAAAAGCATAAACAGTGCAATTCATAGGCCCTCCCTTTAAACACAATTGGTATGTTCTTAATCTGTTGTTGTTTTTAAATAAGAACTGTCATAGTGGGTCAAACTAATGATTAATCAATTGCTTAATCAAAGAGTTAAGGTTTAGTTTAATTGCTTTAATCAGTGCAAATTAACTTCCCCAAGAAAAACGTTACATTATTATACCCCCCAAAGTATTATGGCTCATACAATGTGCCCTGTGGAGCTATTAATGCAAAACTTCACATTCATGATCAATTTGAAAAAGTCTAACAAGAATTAAAATTTTGAATCTATCTGATGCACACCATCAGAGGTGCATCATGCTGAAAATGTATACTTTTGAAACAAATTTCTCCAGGGTTTAGAAAGCCGTTTCATACACTTCTGTAGTTTTAAAAATACTAATATTGCATTTTGTTCATGCTTATCAATAAAGTCTTTCATTGGTTTAGTGAGATCCTGATCAGTGGTTAGGAAATTCTTAAGGTTTTCATGCCCTCTGGAAAAAAAATGCAAGCTGCTGCTGGCAGAGTTATGTCAGATATGCTCAGTTTCATTCTGAAGCTAGCATGCTAATACTACCAGTTTCCTAACTGTAATGTTAAATGGAACTGTGCCTCCAATTTCCTATATTTGGAAATCAACAGATGGCTGTAATATTTCCCCCTCTATTGTGTGGCTTTGTGAAGCTATTAGGACTACCAATCTGCATACAAATAGGTGTGGCCAGGCAATACCTATTTACATTTTGATTATTCTATTAGGGAACTTTTTTTTATTTGTGCATAAGTACAATTTGTGAAAGACACACCAGCATCAGTCCTAACAGCAGGATATCTCTATGAAGCCATGAATATTGGTTTCTGATTTCTTGGCTTTGTGGAGCATAGGCCAGAATTAAGCTTTAACACTGGTATTAATTGTGGGCTTTTTGATCTTTGAATATTAAGGATATTTCACTTGTTCAAGTTCTCCTTCAAGTCACTCTGGTCTTTAAAATCCTAATGTCAAAAGGGTTTATTACAGGTTTTCATTACAGCTAAGACATAGCTGTATTGTCCAGGGAGTTGTCATATTAGTCGCAATGAAAAACGAGTCCGGTGTCATTGTAAAGGCTAACAGGTTTTATTTAATATGAAAATTTATGGCACTAGCCAGGTATTCACAGGCATAGAGTGTTGGCTCAATTGGCAAATTATTATACTAATGACAAATTATTATATACAAATTATTATACTAATGAATGAATAGGGATGTAATTAGTGGGTGAAAATGAACTGAAATACAAAAAGTACAAATATTGACAATTGCCATAATGGTAATCAGTAACAAATATTAGTTGGGTTTAGATACTTATATTTGACTAGATTAGCTGATGAACACATGTACTATGATGGTTTCAACAATAACCTGGTCGCTGTTCTAACCTGGTAACTGCTCCATATATTCCTTCCTATTGTCTAGAATAACAAGGTGTTGCACTTTAAAACATTTAATGTTTTTTTTCTTCATTTTTGTTGGTAAGGCCATTAGTATTGTCATATTTAAATTATAGTAAATCAGGCTGCCATACTGAGGAAAAAGTAGAAGTGAAGAAGTGAAGCTGGCTTCTGTGCTGTAAAAAGTTAAGTGCTTTGAATGCTGCCATCAGTCTACTTCTTCAAAAGATATAGGAGAGGAACTATTTGTACAGCTTTATTAAATTACATTAGGAGAGCCGAACCATGAATCTGTAAATTAGAGGATTATACAAATTTTTATTTATTTATTTAGATTTCTTTCCCGCCCTTTTAGACAAAGTCTACTTTGAGTTCAGAAAGAGTTCAGTTGTTAAAAAGAAGGTCACTGGTATTTGAGGCAGGCTCATCATGGCTATGAAAACTTGATTTCTTTCACAATGTTCAGTTATAAATAGTTTCAGGACTTCCATTTTCTAATCATATTTTACATCATAATTTGCAAAAATGTTTATTTTGTGCTACTGTAGTAGCAAAAACTTCTGTAAATGTATCTTTTTTCTTTTGTTTTCAGCTGATGAAAATGTGGAAATAAAAAACCTTTCATCTGTGCAGCAGCTTGGCATTAAAATCACAATCAGGTAACTCAAATTAATTTACTTATGTTTCCTTTTTTAGTAACATTGAATCTATCAACTCAACATTAAAGCATTAACATTATCTAATCTTAACTATTTTTGTTGGCGACAGTAATTTCTTTGAACATATAGCCATGAACTACAAAATTGCTGATGGCTTCTATATTTTGCATAAACCTATGATTTATTTTAGCACTATTGTAGTACTTTGGAGTTCAGAAGAATTGCCAGATTATCTAGATACTGCAAGAGTAAATGAAGTGTATGGAATGTAAATTAAGATTGTTATGAAATGCCCTGGCAGCACCTAACTATACTATTGCCTATTCTGGGTTATCATTAATGTATCACAGTAATTTTAAATTCTCTGTACTCAGTGGCCAGAATCCTACTGGTAAATTATGCTGATGTATTTGTAGCAGCATAAATAGCAGTGGTGAATTGCTGCTAGTTAATGAGTTCTTAATTGTATATCTTGGTTTGCACCATCTCATATAATCAACGTGCAACAAGGGATCCAGCGAGTTGCTAATTAAGAGTAATTTGTCACAGCAAATTGCACCATTGCATCTGTGCTAGCATAACTAATCACTAGGATTCTGGCCCATGGGTCCAAGGGTATTGATTGCAGTCCAAGAGAGAGGAACCATTAGCATTTAAGAAGCCACCATTTTTAAAATTTTGTTAAGTAAAAAACATGCAACAAAAATGATGCGTGTTGCTTTTGCTGTCGTCACCATTCAGCTACCATTGATTAATAATGAATGTTAAGGTGATGATCAGTGTTTGTACTTTTTGCAATTTTATGTTTATGTATTTTTATTTTACTTTGGAGGGGAAACGTTTTTGTTTCTAAATTCTATTGTATGGGTGCAGCATAAAGTATTTTTAATTGGATGCAACTGGTGCATTGAAATTGAGTGTTATGATGCAAATACAGTATCTTAGATACTTTATAATGAAGAATTGGAACCAAATGTCATACCTAGATAACATTTAATGCCAATGTCAAGTTTTAAGAGTAATCTCTACTAGTTTTACAGTGGATTTGACAGTTTTGTCTTTAATTTGTTCAATTTTTAAGTGGACTGGTTGAGTATGCTTTATAAATTTATTTCCATGTTCTCTTTACTGACTCTTTTTTCCTGGGCAAAGTGTATCAGGCCAGATTTATTGTGATTGATTATCTGCTTCTAATATAAGCATGGACTGCTTTTTCTGCTGAGGATTTATTTTAATGTACTGGTATTTGGTCAGACTGTTTTTATATAATTAAAAGCAGTCTAATTTATATAGTTAAAGTTGCTGTTCTTCTTCTTGGCCTCTGTGAATCACACTCTGGTCAATCTGCGCATGCGAGGAGCCTCGCTGGAATATTCTAGAGTTTCTGTGGTAGCAAAAAGTTACATTAATGCAGACCCCTCCCCCCGGTATATGTACTTGGTGCCAAGGTTCTCCCTTCAGTTTCTTTCAAGTGCCACATTGAGAGCCTTGATCATTGCTTCTGTGAGAAATCTGAAAGTGAAAGAAGGAAAGTTATTGAACTTTTATTTATAATCTTTCCATACCAATTATTATTATTATACTTATTATTTTCAAAACAAAGTACACTCCGGCCTTAGGGCTGAAGCGCCCCCCTTCTGTTTTTTCTTTTCACAACCGGCTCTCAGTTTGTGGCCTCTTCAGGCCTGTTTAAATGCTGCGTGGCCTGTGACAACAAGATCCCACTCTCTGACAGCCACACTAAATGCTTTTTTGCCTTGGTGAGGCTCGTCAAACTTCCTTGTGCCCTCACTACAAATAATTTAAATGTGGAGTTCTCCGCAGTCGCCTTTCTAGGCTGAAGTTTTGGCTTTGGGAGCAATCTCTCCAACCTTCTAAACCCATGGCCCAACCTTCCAGTGAATCCATGTCCCACACTAAAGCCATGGATAAAGTTGTTTCTGAAGCGACAAAACAGCTACCCCATCTTGTTCCGATCATCGGGAATCTACTCTCCCCTTGACATCAATGGTCACTCTGGTGCACAAAGCCAAACAGTCAATGTCAAAACCCTCAACATCAAAAACAGCCGCTAAGAGAAAAACATCCATGGATGTTTCCTCAGCATCTGAAACTTCGCCTCCAAAGAAGGCCAAGTCTTTGAAGTCGAAGCCTTCCAAAACCATTTCCCCAACTCCACAACCACTGGAGTCCGGAGACTTAATCTGTGTCGGTTCTCTTTCAGATGAGGAGGCACATTCACCTCATCAACCATCACTCTTGCAGTCTCCTGAATGGGAACAGCGTATGGATCGACTTACCACTTCTCCTAATAGCCCACAACAATCTTTGGGCTCTCCGAGTGAGTCTTCACCAGTTGCCTCGCCAGACATCCACGGTGCCAAAATGCAACTAGAAACTATGCCTTACTCTGCACCGGTAGGCCTACTACCTTGGCCTCTGGCACATCAACAAAGGCACCAAGCCTGTAAGAGTGTCCGTTTGCCTTCTCGCGCAGAAATAGATCAGCACCATCATCGGGATGCCATTTGCCCCAATCAGTGCCCAAAGGAGAGGCCCGCGAAACACTATCGACCAGTTGCTTTTCCTGGTCCGGCGGTGGTGCCAGACCATGTTGTCCCTGTAAGGGAGCCTTTGGTGTCAAAGTGCTCTTATTACCATGATCGCCCAGGATTACCTGGCACCTCTTATCTGACAGTGCCTAAGAAACCCAAATAAGCCTATCAATACTCTTCGACTCCAGGCACATATGCAGCACCATCAAGTTATTATTTTCTTGCCCATCAGGATGACCGTGAGTGTTCATCCGCTCGGCATCACCGGCATCTGTCTATTCCACTATAATACAATGTGGTCCATCTATGTCTTTACCAACCTGGCAGCTGTCTCGACACCGACCACAACCTCCATATCAACATCAACTCCATACCAGCCCTTCAGATATCAATGTTCCTCAATATCGACCATTATTCATAGACGCACCTTCAATGTCTACAGCAGTCGACGACCTTCGATATGAACCACTGTCCATCAAAGGCCCCTCAACATTGACACCAGTCCTTTGAGGGATATTGATCGACAGTCAATTGACTCCAGGCCTGAGACCGATCCATCTGACCACGGTTAGAGGCCCCAAACACCATCAATACTCTTCACATCTGACCTGGCAGACACAGACCCTCCATTGCCAGCGGAGGATTTTGAAACCTATGCACAATTAATGGTTCATATGGCCAAATCCCTCGACCTACAAATCGACAGACCCACTACTGAACCAGCAGATCATTTTTATGATCCCCTCTCTAAAGATACTACCACACTGGTCCATATCTCCATGCTCCCTTCTCTCCTAAGCACAGCTAGGCATTCTTGGACCAAACCAGCATCATCCCACTTGGTGTCAAAATGCATCGATAACCTTTATCGAGTACATGACCAGGGCGCAGTCTTTTTACAGAAACAGCCGGCTCCCAATTCCATCTTCGTTGAAGCTTCACAATCTCACTTTTGACACAGACAAGTGCTAATACCACCTAATAAAGATGGCAGGCGCATTGACTCAATGGGCAGATGGCTATATTCCTCTGCTGTTTTCACCATGAGAGGTGCCAACTATCAAGGAGCTATGGGCCCTACCAACATTTTCTTTGGGACACTATGTCTACCTTTATTGATGCACTCCCAGAAGAAAAAGGGTCTTAGCACAAACTTTTCAACAAGAGGGTCTCTCAGTAGCGAAACGATGCTATCTGCTAGACACACTTTTGATGCCACGTCTAAATCAATGGCTACCTCTGTAGCACTTTGACGCTATTCCTGGCTTAGAACTGTGAGTCTAGCTGAGGATGTGCATGCATGCATTGAAGATTTCTCATTTGATGTTGGTCTCTTCAATGCCGAGATGGACAACATTCTTGAGAATGTTCAGAAAAAGAGGACAACTGCCAGGTGTTGGGGAGTCTGCCGCACATAGCGGCAATGCCCTCAGCACAATCAGTGGCACTGCCCTTACACCTCTTATCAAAAATTCCAACAAGAACCTCAAAGGCAAACATCTTATATGCCTTACTATAAACAACAACCTTACTGAGCCAAACCTCATCAGTGAACTACAACCAGGTGCAATGACGTCCAACTGGCTGAGATCCCAATACTCCACCTCTCCTTTTGCCATTTGGAAGCACTTGCCTGTGTGGAAAGACATCTCCACAGATGCCTAGGTCATCTCCATCATACGGAACAGGTACCACATCGAATTCCACCAGCTTCCTCCACTGTCACACCTCTGTTGCAAACTCTGCAGGATGAAATACAGACATTACTACTCAAAGATGCCATAGAACCAGTACCACTACAACATGCAGGTTTTTTCTCTCACTATTTCACTGTCTCCAAAAAACATGGAGGCCTTTGCCCCATCCTTGGCCTCAAGGAGCTAAATCAAATACATCACTACCACCAAGTTCTACATGGTTACTCTGGAGTCTGTCCTTCCCTTACATGGTTACGCTGGAATCTGTCCTTCCCCTACTCTGCAAAAAAGGCCGGTTCACAGTCGTATACCTCAGAGACGCCTATTTCCACGTCCCCATCCATCTTTCTAACAGACCCTATCTACTTTTCCAACTCTGAACTCAGGTCTACCAATTCAAAAGACTTCCATTCGGACTCGCAGCAGCTCCCTAAGTATTCACCAAATGCATGGCCCATGTGGCAGCATACCTCAGGCTTCACAAAATTTACATATTCCCGTACATCAACAACTGGCTGCTCATAGCATGCTCCCGTCACATAGCACAACAAGATATTCACTTCACTTTGTCTCTTCTCCGGGATCTCGGCCTTTCAGTAAACCTGCAAAAATCCAAATTAAAACCCACAAGACTGGTTCATTACATATGACCAATTATAGACTCCAAACATGCTTGGGCATTTCTTCTCATAGACAAATGCCTCAATCTAATTTCTTTACTATGTGCCTTTACTCCTCACATGTCTGTATCTGCGCTAACAGTCCAACGTATCTTAGGCACTATGGCATCCATGACTGCTGTGGTTGAGCATGTTTGTCTCAAAATGAGATCACACCAGGCATGGTTCCTAGCCTTATTCAACCCATTGACAGACCCACCACAGATGCTGCTGCGAGTCACTCCAGAACGCGCTTCCCAGTTTGCATGGTGGTACTCCACTCAGAACCTGATGGTGGGACGGCTCTTTCAACAACCCCACCCACAATCCAGGTTACTACAGATGCCAACCTTACCAACTGGGGTGCCCATTGCAGATCTTTCTATGCCCTAGAAATTTTCTAGTTAAACTAGCAAAGTAAATCATTACCTCTTTCTTCTCTATGCAGTAAACAAAAGCACCTCCAAAAATTTATTGTTGTGATCCAGAGTGCAGTTTTATATATGTCTATGCAAAATTGGAAAATACAGTAACTACTGCCTTGTTGCATGCACTGTTAACAAGCAGAAGCATTGGATGGATGGTTTGTGTCTTTGTAGCAATCAGCTAAGCTAGTACTTTGATGCTCAGCAGGTGCTTTGTTTCATGAACAAAAAGATGCTAAAGATATTTTGCACAGACTGTGCAGACTGTAACAAGAAAAAAAAGCACTTGGTGTCCCACTGTTCCACTGAGGTGAGAATTGTGGAGGTTTTAGCAGGCTGCTTCACTATGTTAAGACAGCCTTTCTTGACTAAAAGAAGGCATAAGTGACATTTCCTGAGATCCTCAGTTTAAAAACTGTTCTTTCTTTTTAAAGCTATGGTAAACATTTGAACCTCCTTGGAGAAAATGCTGAGAATGATCTAAGTGAAATATTAATGTACTGTGAGAAATATTTGAAGAAACAACAACAAGCATTTGTAATGACATCGTTACGTATCCTTTTCTTATGATGAGTTAGACTTCATTATGTGTTTTGTCAGGGCAACTGTCATGATAACTGTTTCTGCCTGCTCATGAATTCTGTTGCTGTGTATACTAAATACTGTGTAACTACTATTTCTGCTATATAAAGATAAACTTCATCAAACATTCCTTACTGTAAAGGCATACATTCTAAAGAGACATTGCTTGATCTCTTTGCATTGCTTTTACACCTGGCTTTCCTATTCATTCCAGTGTAGAATGCAGATTCCCACGTATGTTCTACAAATACAGATTTAGGGATGTCCTATACATGAAGAGTTCAATGTACAATACACATGAATCTCTGGCTTAGCATAATGATGTTTTCTATAGCTATTTCTAATCATCTACCAATTCGCAACACTTAAGTGCATGCAATTTATGCCCCACAACGTGTACAAAAGAAAATCTAGCAAATGGCCAAGATAATGCTATTGAAGTAGTTATTTTGACTTCTGGTCAGAAATAGTCCAATTAACATTAAGACAATGAAGATTGTCTTTAATTTGTTTTGACTGTTTTTGTTTGTTTTGGGTCCAGGTTGTTTTTTGGTGAAAAGCACCTTAGCTTTCCCCCTACAAAACAACTTATAAAGGGGGGAGGTGTTACATACAGCACTGATGTTACCTGTCTGTCATGGGTTTGGAGGGAAAGTTCCATCCTATGGGGAGTGGAAGGCGGGACATCAGGAGGAGGGGCTGTACTGTATATATATGTGAAGCCTGTGTGGAGAAGCTGTGGGAGAAGCTGGAGAAGAGCTGAGAGAAGAAGCTTGAGTGGGAGTCTGTGTGTCAGACAGGGTACTACTGTGTGTCAGTCAGTATCAACCTGATAGGTTCAGGTGTCTGTATGGTTAGCCAGAACTGATAGGTTCAGGGTCTGTGCTTCAAGTTAAGTGTTCTGTGTGAACCAAACTGTGTGTATGTATGATTGAGACTAAGCCACGTTACTGTATCTTATTCACTTGATCCTTTTATTTTTCCCTGTGTGTTATTTAATAAACCTTGTTCTTTTATTTGTTAGAAATCCATCCCTGGTCTGTGTGACTTCTTATAGGGAATGGTTGGTGGCAGCTTAGTGAAACTGTGGCATATCCCAGTAGGTCTGGGTTTGTCACACCACTTAATAAGGACAGCAGGCGCATTGACTCAATGGGCAGATGACTATATTCCTCTGCTGTTTTCACCATGAGAGTTGCCAACTATCAAGGAGCCATGGGCACCTACCAACATTTTCTTTGGGACAATATGTCAACCTATAAGGACAGCAGGCGCATTGACTCAATGGGCAGATGACTATATTCCTCTGCTGTTTTCACCATGAGAGTTGCCAACTATCAAGGAGCCATGGGCACCTACCAACATTTTCTTTGGGACAATATGTCAACCTTTATTGATGCACTCCCTGAAGAAAAATGGGTCTTAGCACAAACTTTTCAACAAGAGGTTCTCTCAGTAGCGAAACGATGCTATCTGGTAGACACACTGTTGATGCCACGTCTAAATCAATGGCTACCTCTGTAGCACTTTGATGCTTTTCCTGGCTTAGGACCGTGGGTCTAGCTGAGGATGCTCATGCATGCATTGAAGACCTCCCATTTGATGGAGTTGGTCTCTTCAATGCCGAGATGGACAACATTCTTGAGAATGTTCAGAAAAAGAGGACAGCTGCCAGGTGTTGAGGAATCTGCCCCACATACCAACAACGCCCTCAGCACAATCAGTGGCACTGCCCTTACACCTCTTATCAAAAATTCCAACAAGAACCTCAAAGGCAAACATCTTATATGCCTTACTATAAACAACAACCTTACTGAGCCAAACCTCATCAGTGAACTACAACCAGGTGCAATGACGTCCAACTGGCTGAGATCCCAATACTCCACCTCTCCTTTTGCCATTTGGAAGCACTTGCCTGTGTGGAAAGACATCTCCACAGATGCCTAGGTCATCTCCATCATACGGAACAGGTACCACATCGAATTCCACCAGCTTCCTCCACTGTCACACCTCTGTTGCAAACTCTGCAGGATGAAATACAGACATTACTACTCAAAGATGCCATAGAACCAGTACCACTACAACATGCAGGTTTTTTCTCTCACTATTTCACTGTCTCCAAAAAACATGGAGGCCTTTGCCCCATCCTTGGCCTCAAGGAGCTAAATCAAATACATCACTACCACCAAGTTCTACATGGTTACTCTGGAGTCTGTCCTTCCCTTACTCTGCAAAAAAGGCCGGTTCACAGTTATAGACCTCAGAGAATCCTATTTCCACGTCCCCATCCATCTTTCTAACAGACTCTATCTACTTTTCCAACTCGGAACTCGGGCCTACCAATTCAAAAGACTTCCATTCGGACTCGCAGCAGCTCCCTAAGTATTCACCAAATGCATGGCCCATGTGGCAGCATACCTCAGGCTTCACAAAATTTACATCTTCCCGTACATCGAAAACTGGCTGCTCATAGCACGCTCCCATCACAAAACACAACAAGACATCACTTTGTCTCTTCTCCGGCCTTGTAGTAAACCTGCAAAAATCCAAATTAAAACCCACAAGACTGGTTCATTACATATGAGCAATTATAGACTGCAAACATACTTGGACATTTCTTCCTATAGACAAATGCCTCAATCTAGTTTCCTTACTATGTGCCTTCACTCCTCCCATGTCTGTATCTGCACTGTCCAACGTGTCTTAGGCACTATGGCATCCATGACTGCTGTGGTTGAGCATGTTTGTCTCAAAATGAGATCACACCAGGCATGGTTCCTAGCCTTATTCAACCCATTGACAGACCCACCACAGATGCTGCTGCGAGTCACTCCAGAACGCGCTTCCCAGTTTGCATGGTGGTACTCCACTCAGAACCTGACGATAGGACGGCTCTTTCAACAACCCCGCCCTCAAATCTACAGATGCCAACCTTACCGACTGGGGTGCCCATTGCAGATCCCTGCAAATCTATGCTCAGTGGTCTCAAAGAGAAAAGCTGATCCATATCAATGAGCTAGAACTCTGAGCAGTAATAAAAGCCTGCAAAGCTTCTTACGGGTAAAATGGTTCAAATAGCCACAGACAACAATACCACAATGTATTATATTCTCAAACAAGGGGGCACTCACTTCCCAAGTCTTTTATACCTTGCTGTGGACCTGTGGGAGCGGTGCCTCTCTCATCACATTTGTCTCATGGCACTACATGTAGCAGGTCAGGACAACAATCTGGCAGATTTTCTCAGTTGCAAAGAATCTCAAGCCCACGAGCGGGAGCTAGATCAATCTGTTGTTCTCTTCCTGTGGAAACAATGGGGCACACCCACCATCAACTTCTTTGCCTCACGAATAAACTGGAAATGCAAATGTTACTGTTCCCACCCAGGAGAAGGTTAAGAACTCCCACGGAGACACATTCATTGGCCGTTTGCCCAAATCACTCACTTACTTATTTCCACCATTCCCACTCCTCCACAAGGTCATAGTCCATCTTCAACAGGACAGGCCCAATGCTATCCTGATAGCCCCATGGTTCCTGATTCTACACCACCTGTCGTCTGACATTTATCACCTGTCTCACTTGCTTACACAGAACAAAAATCAAATTCTCCACCCAGATCTCCCTGCCCTTCATCTCGCAATATGGAGGATTCTGCCTCATTGCTGAATGTCATTCATCATGCAAAGAAACCCTCAACCAGGAAAGCTTATATGTACAAATGGAGAAAATTCTAATCTTTTACTGCAGTGTCATCCCTTTCCTCAACCAGCCCCTCTCTCACCACTGTCTTATGTTTTTTTATTGCAGTTAAAAAAGAAGGGTCTTTCTCTCTCTTCCCTCAACGTCTACCTTTCTGCAATTGTGGCTTATCAACCACCAAACTCTCTGGCAACTAAGTTTTTCAGATACCATACCCTGAAACATTTCCTCAAAAGGCTAGCACACCTGTACCCAGGTGTACACCCTCCACCACCTCAGTGGTCACTGACATTGGTCCTTTGACAACTTACAAGGGCCCCGTTTGAGCCCCTCGTGTCAACTGACCTCAGGTTAATTACCTTCAAAACAACATTTCTTGTGGTCATCATGTCAGCTCGATGTGCTGGTGAACTTGCGGCCTTGAGGTCTGACTACCCTTATCTCCAGTTTTACCAGAGGTTTTCGTAGATGTTTCTTTCCTACCCAAAGTTGTCTTCCAGTTCCACCTATCCCAACCTTTGGTTCTTCCGTTTTTCCACCTCCATCTACTCCTCAAGAGAACTGATCATCGCAAAGCGAAAAAAAACCCCATTTAAAACATTGTTTTACGATTGCAAAAACGTCAACATAAAGCAGATTCGTCATTATACAGGGTAATCATCCAGCGGGGCATGACTGTAATAGTTTACCAGGAAGCAGTCCTGTGTTCTACAAAATCCATTCTTTTTTTCTTGAATCAGGCAGTCTAGTTTGCAGTCTTCATCCATTTAAGCTATGTACCTGCTAAAGGCTAATGTTCCATCACACACACACACACACACACCACACAGCATGTGCAATACCAAATGCATATACCTTTTACTTCAGAGTTCTCCACATGTTACCACAAGCCACTGTAAAGCACCCTGATCATGGGAAACCAGCTGCAGTTTTGTGGTGGGATCTCATCTTTATGAGTTGGCAAGGAGGTGAACATGCAGCTCCTTCCAGAAGTAGTCTGATACATAATATCATGCAGAAAAAGCATTTTCTGTTGGGGAATGCTGTTTCTACCCTTCTCTTTGTTGTGCCTAGGATAGGCCATGGAGACCACTACTTCCAGTTCATCACTGCTGCTTTTTCTGTTTCCAGTCTAAGTTCCCCTACCAAGAGGCATGGGTTTTGCCATACTCCCCATCCTTTGCAAGGGAGGTAGACAGGAAAAAAGTGAAAAGGTAGGCACAGTATAATGGAAGGGGAACCATTCCTTGAACCTTGGCAGGTTTTGGT